AGAGAGAGAGAGAGAGAGAGAGAGAGAGAGAGATGTAAGAAAATATTTGCATAAAAAATGTTTTAAATTTTGTTGCGCTAATGCTTTTGCATTATATATACAGAATTTCTTCGACTGAAACTTTTAATTTATAAATGTTTAAAATTACATCATTTATATTGAAATTGAGAAATGCGCTCAAAATTCTATCTCTTTTTTACATATATTTTCTGTTTAAAACCCGTGTATAAAAACTATGAAAAAAGATTTAATCATTCAATGCTTTTGTAATAAAACGCTCTCTCTCTCTCTCTGGATTGCATTACTTGTGTGTTATAGTGAAGGCATATAAGAAGATAAATATTACTTTCCTTTGTTGTCATAAATTTAGAAATAAATAAAACGGGATTTTGTTGTCGAAATCCTATTCTCTGTTATATTTATTTTTAACAAAACAACAAAAAGTGCTAAATTGACAGCAACTCCAATGTCCGACACATAAACACCTAGTTTTTTCACTGCCTTTAGGTTTAATAATTTATTATGTTTTTTCAATTTTAGAGAATATAAATTTTAAGGAAAAACTACAGTATTATATAAATTCTAAATGATATTTATTATATGGATGTTATAACAAAACCATTGAATTCATACTTTACTGTATGTTTCAATATCTGATAAATTAAATGATGTAAATTTAACATCAAATTTTGTTATACAGTATAACTTATACTCCTCTTTCATTTAATTATTGAGTAAATAATATATTTTAACAAAACATCATTATATTTGAATCTGTGTTTGAATCAATTTTAAACACATTTTAAAAATTCACATTAAATATACTAAAATATTTTCCAATTTAAACAAATACTGAATAAAATGTAAGAATTATGTTAATAAAAATTGATGGCAATCGCTATAAAAAGTACAAAAAATCATCGATTCTTAAATTTACACCAAAAATATGTCAATTGAATCACATGTTTAGGCATTTTTCAAACATTCAAATAACAAAATCGGGGCTAATATTAAACTTCTAACACGAATGCGAGCTTTTCTCCTCACTTTCACAGCAATAAATTCACTATTTTTTCGTTACAAAAATAGACAAATTCTAGTGTCGAGTGAATTGAATAGAAAAATACAAGAAATTTTGTGACAAATTGATTGTTTGTGAGGAACGGGTATTCGTACCGAAAAATGGGGCGATTCTTGCGATCATTGTTTGCGATCGACGACTAGATTTGATAAGAAAACTCAATCTCAATATTGTTTGCTTTGGATTTCAAAACGCTTTGAATAATAGAAAAATAGTGTCTGAGTTTGCATTGAAACACACAATCACTGCTGTATTGCTATTAATGTGATCACAAATTCTGTAAATCATATGTTAATCGATTGGCAAAACAAACATAAATTTTCTTAAATAAAATTCTCAAATGAATATATGAATTGAAAACAAGAAAATTACTCAATTTATTTGCTTTCAAACATTATTTAATGAATTTCTATTAATGTTTGTTCTTAAATACTGTATGTAAAAATGTGAACTACTTAGGGCACATGTGCATGGTGCATGGTCATTTGGACAAATACGTGGTCACCTTTTGGTGGACCAGATTCTGGTGACCAGAATCGTGACAAACTGTAACCCAATGAACACAACTCTCCCATAGACTGAACACATTGTGAATATAGCGCCACATATTGTCAGACATTTGTATTACAAATGAATCAAAACATTGCAAAAGTCAAGTATTGAGCGATTGTTTCGCTTATTGTTATCATTAATGTTGTAATCATTGTTACAATCAATGCATTCATAAGCCGTTCATTACATCTCATTGTTGTCAACAGTTGTCACCCGAAATGTCTTCGCCGACCATCTCTTCGGACCAATGGTTTGACACCAAATACAAAACCATCGCTCAATTGATCCCATTATTCACTGATTGTTTTGCATTTCTTCTTCGGCTAACCATAGGCTCAGAGATAACGACAGTTGCGATGAATTGGCCAACGATTTGATGGCCAAAATCAATCAACGAAATCAGTTCCCGAAGAACTCAATCGCCTTTTCGCGGGTAATGACAGTTGTGTTTGTCATTGACTTTGACTACCATTTGAATGGATCCCTTCTTCCCCTTTAGAACGAGAGTCAAACCCAGCAAATGATGAAGACTTTCACTCAACGCATACAACAATTACAGCAACAACTGATCCAAAGCTCTAAATCTCATCAATTGTATGCATACTCTCGATGGGCACCCAATTTGTGGTGACATTTATCTCTGTGTTATCTAATTATGACATTTAATGTCCAGAACTCAACGCGAGATCGAAAGGAGACAACGAGTGGTCGATAATTTGAATTATCGGTTAAAACAGATGGAGATATCCATAGAAAACCCGGACGCAGACCGAAGGTATCACTCAATTCAATCACCGATCAGTGGATTTAGTGTATTGTCTGTTGTTTTATGTGTTATTTGTGTTCAAAAAATGTTTTCGTTGTTTATTTGCCATAAAATAATGAATGAGTGAATCTGTATATTGATATTAATGTGTGGAACCGATGTCTTCAGGAACGCTCTTCTGGGAAATCCTTCGCAGTCTTTGTACGGAACTAATGGTAACCAAGACTATGGCTCATACGATGTGGAGAGAGGAGAGGCCGAGACGACGGCCATCAGGAATCTGAACGCAGAAGAGATGAAACTACAGAAACAGCTCCTCATTAGAGGCAAACATTTTCCTATCAATTATTTAATTCAATCTTTTGTTTGCTATGTTTTATGGTTTTGTTTCTCCACTTATTCTTAATTCAAGTCTTCATTCAATTTATTTATCATTATTTGTAATGTTTTCGATTGGAAAGAGTTGTATTGATATGTCTTATAGTTATTGGGAATTGACTTTAATTAGCATTTTTTTGTTGTGTTGTCTTACAGAACAAGACAAGGGATTGGAATCATTAGCGGAGATAATTAGTCGCCAGAAGAATATGGCTCAAGGGATTGGCTCTGAAATTGAAATACAAAATGGTTTATAAATTTGCTTTAATTCATTTGTTTATTGTTTTGGCATTAAATAAACGATAAAAACTTTATTTAATGCTTAATAATGTGAAACGAAATTAATGTTGTGATTGTCTTAGAAATAATTGATGACATCGGAGACGCTATGGATCAGACCAATGATCGACTCCTTAGAAACACTAGAAATATACGAAAAGTGAACAGAAAGTCCGGCACTTGCGGTCAGTTTTGAGTCTATAATCATATTAACAGTTAATTAATAGTTTTATATTTTGATTTTGATTATTAAAATTTGTTTGATTTTAATGTTTTTGTTGAATAGGATTGTGGATTGTTATAACACTGTTATTCATTGCAATTATTACCGTTTCATTTGTGTAACGAATTAATTGTTAACTATTTTCTATATTTGAGGCTAATTTTCTCCAATATATTGAGAATAATACTATTTATACTGTATTTATATCATTGACTTGTATTACAATTTTAATCACTAATTAAATCTTAGAGTTTTAACTTTTATTAACTGAATATATTGTGATAAAAAATATTCAAATTATTGATTACTGTATTTTTCAATTTCTAAAAATTTATATTTTAAATAAATGCTTAAATGAATGCTTTAAATAAAATTTAAGAATTAAATCTAAATTTTCACAACATTTTATGAAAAAATACTTTTTATCTAAAGAGATGAAGATTTTCAGTATATTTTTGTTATTACATAGATTTTTAATAAACTAACGAATACTTAATGTCTGTTCAAGTTTTGATGATTTTAAGCTACTTTTCATCTCATATATGGTTTTCTGTAAATCTATTTGTGGAGAGATTTAAACAAATTCAATGAACTCTATTGAAAGATACATTTTATTTCTCATTTCTTAACATTTTATAAAGAAAAGTGAGTTTAAAATCTAATATTTTTCTTTTTCATTACATTATAAGCTTTTCATTTATTATAATTTGTAATCCATTGCCTCCAATACTATCTCCACATCTTTCAGCCATCCCTTCAGTGCATTGAATTATAAAGATTTTAAATCAATAAATATGAAACAATAATATAGTACTGTATATGAAATGGCATTTTATGCGCGAAACATATTCTTAACTTATGGCCAAAAAAATAATGAGATCCAGTCTTTGATTCATATTATTATTGCATTATTACTCATTAGGCGTTTCGTCAATTGCCAAACCATTGCCTCAATATTACTGTTGTAGTCATAATAATAGCAAAGAGTGCGGAGGAAATAGAGTACAGATATAGATGAGCGGAGAGAGAGAGAGAGAGAGAGAGAGAGAGAGAGAATTATGCAAAAAGTATCGTAACATATAATCTGCATATAAATAGTGTTAGCGTTGGTATTGAATTGTTATGGGATTTGCATTTGGAAAATAATATAATAGTTAAGAATATGTTTCGCGCATAAAATGCCATTTCATATACAGTACTATATTATTGTTTCATATTTATTGATTTAAAATCTTTATAATTCAATGCACTGAAGGGATGGCTGAAAGATGTGGAGATAGAGAAGAGAGTGGTAAAGAGAGGTTTGTATGAGAGGTATAGGCATTCATCGGAATAGACGAAACATATAATGAAAACTGGAATCAATATAGCGTTGAAAGCATCGAAATATACCTGAATTTATAGAAACATTGACTCCCTTTGGCTGAGAAATGGCAGAGTCGGCGATGAGAGCCCCCATACATACCATATATATAAAGTATATTCTCGTAATCAATAATTCATTTTATTTGCTGATTACCTGCTCGGGAGGGCCCACACAATAGGCGCTCATATTATAACCAACTTATTCTTTGACGCTTTGTATTGTCAAAGTGTTTGCAAAGGAATATATTATTAAATACCAAACTTTTGACACTTATCTGTGCACTAAAAAATCAAAAATATCTCCAAATTCTGGTTCGCTATGTCTTGTGAGGGCAGAGAATGAAAGGTTTAAAATATAATTTAATATTATATAAGAATTGCCAAAAAACACGGCACGACTGGCGAGAGATATCTCTTTAAACCCCAGCGATCAATAGCCCAGTGATAACAACACATTAACATAAAAATTAATGTTATTTTTCATTTGACACAATATTTTTTTGTCGGGAGTTTTTTAATCCGCAAAAAAGGTTTTCATGAATTATTTACAGAAGAATTGTATTTTGCATTTAAAAAATGAATGCCTTATATATTTATATATACATTACATTTGTAATTATATCACAAAAAAATCTATTTATATATTTAATTATCATTGAGTACTAGTCCTCCAAATAGATGTTTTGCATAGAGAATAATACAATAGTTGCCAATATGTAGATAAGGCCACAATATTTCTCTGTCAAAAAAAATATGTCCATAAAATTTGTTTTGATAACTGAATTGATTGCTTGAATACCATTATTGGCGGTGCTATGACTGCCAACATTGCTCTGGGCTTCGATCACCTCCTGGTTCATAGTCCTGATGACAATGTGCTCCTGAAAGTCGGCGATCGTCCGGTGAAACTGTGCCACACATTTGAGCTTAAGTTCTTGCATCTGGAAGTGATGCACTTCCATCACAAATGTCAGGCCCAACACCAACTCGTTGGGCCCCGAGTGGGCACTCGTTTCGCTACTGTACCGGATTAGTTGACTCGCGTTTGCCTGCCATTTAAAGTTTTATTGTTTAGTTAATCAGTTTTCTATAGAATTTTTGAATGTGGGAATAGTTTGCTGAATAAGTATATGAAATATGATTTTGTTTGCAACCCATTCATCGACTGATGATTGAGTTGGTTTTGTATTTTGATGGTTAACCCCTATTAACTCAATAGTTTATTATGTAATGAATGAATGAAATGAAGTGTAGGGTATAACTAAGGTTATGTGGTGTTAAGTAATGTTCGCAATACCTGATCATCATTAACAAGCCATTTGAGTTGGCAGTCATGTGCAGCACTCGTACAGTTGACGTTCAACACATCGTTCACATTGTATTTCGGTTTCACGCCTTTAATTACTGGCCTCTCTCTGTTGTCCGACTGTAAGGACCAGTCTATACGACAAATGCAATAATCATTATATTATTTTCCAAATGCAAATCCCATAACAATTCAATACCAACGCTAACACTATTTATATGCAGATTATATGTTACAATACTTTTTGCATAATTCTCTCTCTCTCTCTCTCTCTCTCTCTCTCAATTATATTATTTTCCAAATGCAAATCCCATAACAATTCAATACCAACGCTAACACTATTTATATGCAGATTATATGTTACGATACTTTTTGCATAATTCTCTCTCTCTCTCTCTCTCTCTCTCTCTCTCTCTCTCTACAATGTATTAAATTGTTTCTCTGTTCTCGACTCCAACTGATAAATATACGGATGATTTCGTTTGGGTTTTACAATGCATTACATTTCAGATAATGTTTAATAAAAGTAAAATTATTTCTATAAGAGAGTTCACTAACGCATATAACTATAATCTACCAGAATATTAATGCAATTGATTTTCAAGTCATTTTACCCTAATTTTGCTACAAAATTCAAATTTTATTATAAAAATAAGGTTAAATTATTTTTACTTTAATAATAGTAATAACAATTTAATGTTAAACTAAAATATAAGCTAAATATCTATATTAAGGCAACATTTTTAATACGATGAATACTGATTAGTGTATTTTTTATAACTATTACTATATTAATAATATATTTATATTCTGTGAACATATTGTATAAATTTATTGTATATTTTATCGGTTATTCTTTAAAAGATATTCTCTATTTAAATAAACACTAAAATCTAATATTAAATTACATGACATATGGATTATTGTCTAATGTATCCATTTGTGTGACATTTGCAACAATTGTATTATATTTCGCAAATAGTTTATGCCATTTCTTTTTTATTTGATAGATAATGTAATTTAATAAGTTGTTTTATATTGTCTATTATAGAATATATAGTGAAGTATATTTATTGATTATATTTCTAATTTGGCACTAATTAAATACAAACAAATAATTAATTAGAATAAAACTTAATGAGCGAAACATTTATTTTAATTAGCGAATTGATCAACGAATTCATATAAATCTTGTTTTATCTCTTGATTTTCATTGAATTAATATTTTTTTCGTTAGTTTGCTATTTAGTAAATACAAATAGTGTCTTCATATAAATTAATGAACATTTAACTATTTATTATATTATATATTTTATTTTTTCTATCCGAGACCAGTATTTAATCAGTAAAATAATGTAATAAACCACTGAATTGAGTAAAATTTATATATACAGTAAACGAAGTGACTATTTGTGATCGAGATTTTAGTTCAATAGAGTTTAGTTAATACTTTTATGGGTTTATCTATTAGTGGTTAGTGTCGGTCGTGTGGCTGTCATTGTATCTAATTATAAGCTAATAGTATTGATAAATGGGTCTCAGAAATAGAGAGCAGACCTTTACTATTGGCAAATTGTTGGCCGATATTTGTCTTGTTTTTGACGGTTCCGCTGACCACATACTCGACCGCTTCAAACTCGTAGACCAGGGCCAGTGTTGCGGTGCACCTGAGTCTCAAAACACCACGGTGGAAATAGTTGGGAGTGGCCCTAAACACTAGACCCAATCGGGCGCTCTGTAGTCCATCCACGTTGGTTTTTGGCGGATATAACATTAACTGATCGTTTGATGCCTATAATAGTGACAAATAATATGATATATTGCGAGACAATATCAAACATACACTACTTTTTTCTTCGAGACAAACATTAGACAATTGAAGGCAAAGTGTATAACAAACACAAGTCAGACGCTTCTCACTATTGGCAGTGAAAAACTAACTCAAAAAAGTGTTGTCTAAACTGCTCTTAAGTGCAAATGCGAGTCTTCGGTGTCTGTCCCGAGAGAACCGAAAGTTTGAAAAATACGGCTAAAAACTGATCGTAAAAGAAATATATACTGAAAACTCTCTCAAAAATGGTATAAAACTCTTAAATTCCGTTTGACTTATAAAGAAAAAACTGGTATAAGATTCTCGTGTTTTATTGTGTGTCTGTCTCTGAGAGAGCAGTGAATTCTGTGCGAATAAATGGCTTTTGATGAATGGTTTTTAAGTGTGTTTTTGTCTCAAAAAAGTCTTACCGTATTGTCATTGATATACCACGAGAGTTGCGGAAGGGGTCGCCCATCGCCGGACCTACAGCTCAGATTAAGCCATAGCATAGGTTTGACTCGTATTTAGATTGTAATCATTGATTAAATTTTTACATTAAATTATTCTTAGATATGAGAAGACACTGTCATATCATATCATAACATAATATGAAGTAACAATTGATAGCACTATATATTTAAGCAAATGTATTATCTTATAAACTGACAGATCACTCGTTCAAACGCAACCCATGCATACCTTTCATACACAGATTTGGTGAGTATTTATCGCTTTTAAAAGTCTATTTTTAAATATAAAAAAAGGAAAAGTATTTGTTTAATAATAACTTTTAATAATATTTTCAATATTTAATCAAAAATACAATTTACTTATAGTTTTCCGACGGAATGTACGCCTGCGAAGTGAGCACAGAAGGTAACACTTGTTAATACACATGTTTAATCATATAGATAATTATATTTTAAAAACAAACTATCTACTTTTTCCAATGGCTGCACACATTGTTGTATTTGCTCAACATTTATATTTTATAATAAAAAGCAATGTATCGATTGAATGTCATTTCATTTTTAATATAACATTAAGGAAAGGCATAAATCTTTGGATTTTTAAAGAATTACATAGATTTTGATCAAAAGGGAAATCAATGTTTGATAAGAAGAAAAATAGCGAAACTTGTAATCATTTTATGATTAATTGCAGTTTCAATGGAGAATATTATAGTAGATATAATCAAATTAATACTCACCATAGAGTCTGGAACCGCAAAATTAATTGCTGTTTATTAAAGAGGTTTTCAACCAATTTATGATAATTTCACACAACATTTGTAACATTTATTTTTGTGATGCATTTGTTTAGCCGACGATATGTATAACACTCGTAGAATTTATATCATTTATACTAATGATTATCGATATAACAACTGAATTAATGGTCTAATATATACACTGAACGGACATTATATTAGCATTCAATTTAATGGCATTATTGTAATGGAGTTCATAGAACTTCACATTTGATCATATTTTTGCTTTTCTTTTTCATTGCTCTAAACGTTAAAACTTTATTTTGTGTCTATTTTTATCATTTATTTCACTGCTATTAAAACCCCTTTATTTGTTTGTAATTTGTTTTTTCTTCTCTTTTTTGTGGAAACAAATATAATGTTAAAGTCATTGGAAAAAGTTTCCCATTTTTTTGTATAAGAAATGATATTCTATTGGATATAATTTGAAAGTTTGATGTAATTGTCGTTATAATGGAAGTGAAAATAAAAATTGATTTCCTTTTTCTTTGTTATCTATTCTCTGCACCGACTGTTAGGTCCGTCCTTCTCGACAATCAGAAGCGAACGGTTAATGAAAGTTTACGGTAAGAAATATATATTACATATACTATACGTAAAACTAAAACAAATAGTGATAGATTAGAGACTCAATTCTACACAAACACTGGTACGAGAGAGAGAGAGAGAGAGAGGAAAGGTTGGTAACTGTATATAAATTGATGTGTTTTCCCCCAATCGGTGCTCACTCTATGAACTCTTAAATTGAAGTGTTATGTGTTATGAAGGGATGCTTTAGTCGTGAATATCGTTGACAGACGTATAGACCATATATTGAAGGAATATATAGAAGTGTTGTATGTTTTGGAAGTTAACGGATATAAAGAATGAGAATTGAGTTTCATTTCTCGATTGATCGGCAATTGTTAAGTTGGAGGGCATGTCAGCCAATGTCAGCCACCATTATATTAGCTTTTATATGGCTATGGGATCCCCAGTAATGAAGAATAGTGTTCAATAGCTATAAATAATTCATTACAATGATATGGAGGCACCGATGTGTTGATGTTTGTGTGTCTCATCGACTCCAACAGCCAAAACAGCCATACCTTATGTCATTTGGGAAATGAGAGGAGAAATACTACTAGTTTTGCGATCCCTTTCCCAGCCTTAGCTCAAATCTTCTCTTCTCTCTCCACTCCAATACCCATCGGCCTATCTATGAGTGCTTTCACACTAACTTATATGAGTCTATGAGAGCTATAAACCAATCATTTATACTGTATTATCAATACATCGATTTTGTTCCCCGATTGAAATTAATGGTCATTTTCTTGTGAACTGCAAACAAAGTCCAGTTTTGAGCCCAAGAATTGTCAATAAGCAGTGAATTTCACTATTGATTATATTAGTAGACAATTGTATTGTATTATGCATTCATTTAATTAATAGCCGACACCACTCGCCCTTCACACTAACGATCGGACTCTCAAATGACATAAACTTATCAAAATTAGGGCTAATTTAATGAGTGAAGTGAATGAATGGTGTATTTAAAGGCCTGGTATGTGGCAGTCATTGTCGGCAATGCAAACACAATGACTAATACCTTTGTGTTGACCAAAACTGCCACAAATGGCTAACTATTTGCCAAAAATAGCCAAAAACTGAGAACTAATTCTGATAGAGAGCCTAAAATATAGTGTATTGTGTTTGAAATGTTTGTCTCAATAGTAATAGTAATAGTCTTTTCTCTACTCTGATCTTCATTTTCTTCTTCATTGCAAAAGCTTTACCACAAGAAAACTTGCGAATCGATGGCAAAGAAGTTGAATACGATGTTAACGACAAGATATTAGACTCGACATCCAGGCCGCTACCCGCTGGGGAAGGCGTTGAGAGCACCATATAGTTACTGTTATGCCATTCTGAAAAAACTCTGTTTTTGTGTGAATTTTTGGTAAGTAGTTTTCGGTAAATACCGCACAGAATTCACTGCTCTCTCAGAGACAGACACACAATAAAACACGAGAATCTTATACCAGTTTTTTTCTTTATAAGTCAACGGAATTTAAGAGTTTTATACCATTTTTAAGAGGGTTTTCAGTATATATTTCTTTTACAATCAGTTTTTAGCCGTATTTTTAAAACTCTCGGTTCTCTCGGGACAGACACCGAAGACTCGCATTTGCACTTAAGAGCAGTTTAGACAACACTTTTTTGAGTTAGTTTTTCACTGCCAATAGTGAGAAGCGTCTGATTGTGTTTGTTATACACTTTGCCTTCAATTGTCTAATGTTTGTCTCGAAGAAAAAAGTAGTGTATGTTTGATATTGTCTCGCAATATATCATATTATTTGTCACTATAATAGGCATCAAACGATCAGTTAATGTTATATCCGCCGAAAACCAACGTGGATGGACTGCAGAGCGCCCGATTGGGTCTAGTGTTTAGGGCCACTCCCAACTATTTCCACCGTGGTGTTTTGAGACTCAGGTGCACCGCAACCCTGGCCCTGGTCTACGAGTTTGAAGCGGTCGAGTATGTGGTCAGCGGAACCGTCAAAAACAAGACAAATATCGGCCAACAATTTGCCAATAGTAAAGGTCTGCTCTCTATTTCTGAGACCCATTTATCAATACTATTAGCTTATAATTAGATACAATTACAGCCACACGACCGACACTAACCACTAATAGATAATACCATAAAAGTATTAACTAAACTCTATTGAACTAAAATCTCGATCACAAACAGTCAAGTCGTTTACTGTATATATAAATTTCACTCAATTCAGTGGTTTATTACATTATTTTACTGATTAAATACTGGTCTCAGATAGAATAAAATAAAATATATAATATAATAAATATTTAAATGTTCATTAATTTATATGAAGACACTATTTGTATTTACAAAATAGCAAACTAACGAAAAAAAAAATTCAATGAAAATCAAGAGATAAAACAAGATTTATATGAATTCATTGATCGATTCGCTAATTAAAATAAATGTTTCGCTCATTAAGTTTTATTCTAATTAATTATTTGTTTGTATTTAATTAGTGCCAAATTAGAAATATAATCAATAAATATACTTCACTATATATTGTATAATAGACAATATAAAACAACTTATTAAATTACATTGTATCTATCAAGTAAATAAGAAATGGCATAAACTATTTGCGAAATATAATACAATTCTTACAAATGTCACACAAATGGATACATTAGACAATAATCCATATGTCATGTAATTTAATATTAGATTTTAGTGTTTATTTAAATAGAGAATATCTTTTAAAGAATAACCGATAAAATATACAATAAATTT